GATAAATTTCACTATGTAACGAATAAAGTAAATTCGTCAACATATAATTATAGGGATGATACTTTGCCATCAATATGCTGCTGCCCTTTATCAATGAAAGTTATGCGCAGTGAAAGTATATAAAAATATTTCATCAAAATGTATGTGGAATTAGTAATAAGACACTAGAATTAGAATTATATATTCAGTCGTTTAATCAAATAGTAGATTACATATGTTTATCGGAGCACTTCTTAAACAACATATCAGTAAAAGTTTTCAATCTTAGTAATTATAACCTAGCTTCGAATACTTTAATACCAGAACCAATACAAGAACCAATAAAATTTAGGGAGGTAGTCTAATTTTGTGTCACAAAAATAGAGAGTTTGAAACCATTGAGGCAGTTAATAAATTCTATAGAGCAGAATATTTTGAAATAAGTTGGGTAAAAGATATAGAGACGGGTTTGTATTTGTGCTGCTGTTACAGAAGTCCATATGATCATAATTTTGAAGGATTTATGCAACATTTAGAAAAACTATTGGAATATTTGTTCAACAAAAAGAGCACCATACTCGTATGTGGCGACTATAATATTGATTTGTTAAAGAAAAGTAAAAATGTATCTGAATTCGTCTGTACATTAAGTGTTACAATTTAAGGCACCTGATTGATACCCCCACATTTTTTAGAAACGACAAGTGTTCATATATAGACAACTCTTTGACAAACATACCCGACGATTGCATGACACAATGTACTGTGGATAATATTGGCCAGGCAGATGGGCACAGTGGGTTATTTTGTGATATGATACTTGAAAAAGTAAACAGTAAAATTAAAAAACCCGTACCAACAATTAGGCGGAAAAAAGAATTTTTAACAAAAAACAACCATACCTTGTTTGGAACAGCTGCATTGAACACGAGATGGTTGTGTTTTCTGTAACCAGACTGGTGATTAACATAGATATATATATATATATATATATAATATATATATAATATATATATATATATATATATATATATATATATATTTCTAAATACGTACATATCATAGATAAATTATAACCAGACACAGAACGAATTGTCGTGCTCAACATTTATCCTGGGTGGGAATCGAACCTACGACTTCTGGTTGAGCTGTCATGGTCACTAAACACTAGACCAGACCAGGCCAGACATTTTTTTATGGTATAAGGGTATGGAATGTAAGTGACTATCGCCGCTCATGGACATCTCATTTTTTATGTTAGAGGGGGCAGACGGGCAGACAGGTAACCTGATGGAAAGTGACCATCTCCGCTCATGAATGTCCGCAACTCAGGAGTCAAGTACGCTCTTTTCTTGAAGGTTTGAAGGTCGTATCAGTCCGGTAATACCGCAGACGATAACACTCATTCCACAGATTCCACAGTTTGGTTATTCGATAACCCGTTCCATAGATTGGTTGTGCGAATCTATAACTTAAGACACACATGCGGTGCCACTCTTTGAGCTCCTTGATTAAAAACGTATTTAAACTAGTATTTAGTATAATGTACTTTCAGATTATTATGGCTGGAGGACGCAATTCTTATACAAATAAGAAGCATAGCAAATTTGGAGGAAAGACTCAGTATAAAAGCGAAGAACAAAAAAGAGGTGAAGAGAAGAAAAATGAAACAGTGAGTGTTAATATTAAAGTCATGTTTTAAAATATTCAACGCCATCTAGGGAAGAAAGGGCGTACTTTTTTTGTAACAAATCGATCTGTATCACGCAATCAAAGTATAATTGCTTGTCCTGTTTAGAAAATTCTCTTTCACAAATAAAAGCAATTTCTTGAGACAATCAACTTAAAATTGGTTCTGTTAGATAAAGATAGTTTTTGGTTTATAGTATAAGGGGCAAACATGAGAGGCTCATTGCTAGGTGGTTAACACATTGCAAAGTTAAGCAATCCTAGCCAGGTCAGCCAATGGATGGGTAACCATTCTTAACACATTGAGAGCCCTCCGTGCCTCGAAGGACGGACATCTCTGGCAATCGCTACGGGTAGTTGGAGCCCTAAACAGTCCGACAACAGTCTCTCTACAGATATCGCCTGGCTCTTGGGTACAGTAGGTAGTAGGTACAGGTCTGATGGCAGTAACTCTGCGTAAAAAAGTGGTAAGTAGTGGTAAGGCACATCCGCCGACCAAGATATCTACATCTAAATAATCGAGTTAGGTGGCCCGAGATGTCCGGTAACCTTACTCACTTGTTGAAATACTATGAAAGAATTACTTAACACCGGTTTTTGTAAACCCGTGGTCTCACTCCGGTCGGGCTGGTCAATTTCTAGAACGAGGATTAGAAACAAGGTTCCTGCCTACTACACCACCCTGGCCAGACAGGTTGCACACTCGATGCTGTTGTCCTGCGTAGTTTGCTCCCTCGGTCGCCTCTTACGATACCCACGGGCTGAATAGAAGTGGTAACACTACGAATTCTTAATAAATAACATTTGAATGTTACAGATAAAAAAAGAAAATGCCAACCAAAAAGAATCCTCAGGTCTTAAATATGAAAATAAAAAGAAAGATCAGATTGAAAACGCTGAGCCTCTAAGAGTAACAGAAAAAGAAGAAAATAAAACAGTTGATAGAAGCTGTCACGATTCAGCAACAGATAATAGTCAAGTTAAACCTTGTCAAAATGAAATAGAACTGGTAAGTCACAAATGTTTTATTATGATGTATTTTATTTAACCATGATCTGTAATAACAAGTATCTATGTATTTATTTGCCACTACTTCCACCGCAAAATTCGGTTATAAATAAAATGGAAATGAATTAATATTTGGCTATTTGAATAAATAAAACATGCGGTCTATAACAGATCGAGCCCATCATCTTCGAACAAGCTGTATATTGTAAATCCATGTGCGTGCTTTATAATTTTGTACAAAAATCTATCTAAATCACAGTTACAAAGAATTAATTGTGTTTAAGTCTTTGAAGTCAAGAAAAGCTAAACATATCAGAGTTTGGGTCCTTCGATTATGATCATTGATCATTGTATACTCTACTAATTAGAGGGCGAGGTATATCTGTTAAAGCGTTATAAAATGGAGGGTTCTAACTTATTCTTTTTTTCAACCACATGCACACAGCGCCATCTAGTCCCAAACTAAGCAGAGCTTGTACTATGGTTACTAGACAACTGATATAAATACATACATACTTTTTTTTTGTAAATACTTTTTTTTTTTTTTTAGTTACATTCACAATATTTTACAGGAATATACTCCCAAGGCAATATTGCAAGCTTATAACTAGTTATCTGATTGTCTTAGAATCTAAATTGCATAATTTTATAAATGATTTTAAACAAATTAATATAGATAGAAATAATGAATTTAAATTATTTATATGTCAGAAATAACGCAACTTTGTGCTACTTCTGTGAATTTCGACAGGCTACAGTTGTAGATGTCTGTATTTGCCGCAATAACATTAATAATACGTATGGCGCGCGACAAGGGGGGCAAATTTGAGCATGTTGGTTCTCGCCACCGGCACGCTGAGTGCTACTAAGCGGCGACGCGCGCCTACGCATCCGTTGGGGGCACATAGCCGTAGGCACGCTAGCGCGACATCGCGCCGCACGCTCAACCGCACGTACCCTACCATGCCGAGTACAAACAAACTGGGGTACATAAGTGGGTACAAAGGGTACACTCCATATTCTTTAAAATACAAAAATCGAGCGAATTTGTTTTGTTTTTTTTCCACCATAAGGCTATACTTCGCCTCATGTTGATTCCAGATAATGGCTGTCGACTCAAGATGACTCCGAACAAGTGCGTTGTATAATATTCTCACGGCTATTGTATTCTCAAAATCCTTAAAATTTCTTAAAATGAACCCTAAATTTCTAAACGCCTTGCCGCAGATGTTCACTATGTGTTTAAGAAACGTCAGCTCAGGTACCATTTCAACCCCTAAGTCACGGGTGCAACCTAAGCGCGGTATTAATACATCGTTCATACTATATGTATAGTGCAGAGGAGTCCTCGCCCGTGTATAACTCATTACTCCGCACTTAGCTATGTTAAAATACAGTTTGTTAGTATTGCTCCACTGCACTACCCTATCCACATCACCTTGCAACCTCTCCGCTACTACATACTTATTATACATAGAAACACCCAGACCAAATCAAACATTAAATGTTCATGCACGCAAATGTTTGACTTGAGCGGGCATCGAACCAGAGAGCGACCTTTGGAATAGCAGTCCATTACACAAACCAATATGCCGTCGGTCTTAGTGTTATGAACTAATATTATGGGGTTATTTTCAATAATAATATGTTGCAGAAGGAAGAAGTTAGCGACACGCAAACAGATGTTACTGATAATAAAGAAAATAGTGAATTACAAATTGATGCTGAGAGGAATGAGCAAATAGACGATCCTCGACGCACTAATGTAACAAATTCAGTATTCCAGAATCATCTAGACCAAGAAAGGGGTGATGAAACAGTACCTGTAAGTTAACATGCGAATTATGGACACATCTTTATATTCTTATTAAATTTATTATTTCTTTATAAAAAAATATTGAGGATGTCGAAATTAACGCGCCAACTACACGTTGGAGTTTTTTAAAACCAGCCTCTAGCTTCCCTTACGGGCTAAAATCTGATTAAAAACTGCGGTATTTCTAACGTGTCATTGGAAGGAAATTGGAAAATATTCGGTATAAAACCTACCTAAGCTCCAAAATAGTTACTTTAACCTGTGTCCCGTTACCAAACAACAATAATGACATAATATTATTTTAAGCCTGCTACACCAGCTGTTCAAAGTCATTCAATTAAAGATGTAGATGATGAAAGTAAAGTAAGTGATGAATTAAAATATATGCGCAAAAACGATCAAAGTGAAGAGGTACCGGATGATGATAAAGCTGACACTAATATGACACTTGACGATAAGAAGATATCAGATGATCAACTAAATCCCCAAGAGATCAAGCCAGAACAACCTGTAGGTATAGCTTTTAGGAGCTTTTTTTGCAGCCTGTTATAAAAAAAAAGATGAAACATTAAAAATATTAGAAATGTATTTTTCGGAAACTGCTTTGACATTATATAGTATGTATGTATATGTACAATACTATTTATACGGTGCAATATTTAGAACAACATGTTTTGAATTTCAGTTCAATTTTAAACATTTTTAGCACAATCGGCACATTCCATCGATATCATCGGTATTAAGTACTCATAGTCACGTCACCAGTTTCATCGTCTCAATTTTAAAGTTCATTTGGTCACCTTCAAAATAAGATTTCTGTATAAATATCGTAAATTTTATGTCGTGTAGCTAATTATGTGTCGCCGTATTGCCTTTAATTGTGTGGTGACCGCAGACCGCATCTCTGGCAATCGCTACGGGTAGTTGGAGCTCTAAAAAGTCCGACAACAGTCTCTCTACAGATATCGCCTGGCTCTTGGGTAGGGTAGGTAGTAGGTAGAGGTCTGATGGCAGTAACTCTGCGTAAAAAAGTGGTAAGTAGTGGTAAGGCACTACCGCCGACCAAGATATCTACAACTAAATAATCAAGAGTGAAATAATAGGTGGCCCGAGATGTCCGGTAACCTTACTCACTTGTTGAAATACTATGAAAGAATTACTTAACATCGGTTTTTGTAAACCCGTGGTCTCACTCCGGTCGGGCTGGCCCATTTCTAGAACGAGGATCAGAAATGAGGTTTCTGCCTACTACACCACCCTGGCCAGACAGGTTGCACACTCAATGCTGTTGTCCTGCGTAGTTTGCTCCCTCGGTCGCCTCTTACGATACCCACGGGCTGAATAGAAGTGGTAACACTACGAATTCTTAATAAATAACATTTGAATGTTACAGATAAAAAAAGAAAATGCCAACCAAAAAGAATCTTCAGGTCTTAAATGTGAAAATAAAACGAAAGATCAGATTGAAAACGCTGAGCCCATAGAAGTAACAGAAAAAGAAGAAAATAAAACAGTTGATAGAAACTGTCACGATTCAGCAACAGATAATAGTCAAGTTAAACCTTGTCAAAATGAAATAGAACTGGTAAGTCACAAATATATTATTATGATGTATTTTACTTAACCATGATCTGTAATGACAAGTATCTATGTATTTATTTGCCACTACTTCCACCGCAAAATTCGGTTATAAACAAAATGGAAATGAATTAATATTTGGCTATTTGAATAAATAAAACATGCGGTCTATAACAGATCGAGCCCATCATCTTCGAAGAAGCTGTATATTGTAAATCCATGTGCGTGCTTTATAATTTTGTACAAAAATCTTTCTAAATCACAGTTACAAAGAATTAATTGTGTTTAAGTCTTTGAAGTCAAGAAAAGCTAAACATATCAGAGTTTGGGTCCTTCGATTATGATCATTGATCATTGTATACTCTACTAATTAGAGGGCGAGGTATATTTGTTAAAGCGTTATAAAATTGAGGGTTCTAACTTATTATTTTTTCAATCACATGCACACAGCGCCATCTAGTCCCAAACTAAGCAGAGCTTGTACTATGGTTACTAGACAACTGATATAAATACATACATACTTTGTTTTTGTAAATACATACTTATTATACATAGAAACACCCAGACCAAATCAAACATTAAATGTTCATGCACGCAAATGTTTGATTTGAGCGGGAATGGAACCAGCGAGCGACCTTTGGAATAGCAGTCCGTTACACAAACCAATATGCCGTCGGTCTTAGTGTTATGAACTAATATTATGGGGTTATTTTCAATAATAATATGTTGCAGAAGGAAGAAGTTAGCGACACGCAAACAGATGTTACTGATAATAAAGAAAATAGTGAATTAGAAATTGATGCTGAGAGGAATGAGCAAATAGACGATCCTCGACGCACTAATGTAACAAACTCAGTATTCCCGAATCATCTAGACCAAGAAAGGGGTGATGAAACAGTACCTGTAAGTTAACATGCGAATTATGGACACATCTTTATATTCTTATTAAATTTATCATTTCTTTATAAAAAAATATTGAGAATGTATGAGTTTTTCAAAACCAGCCTCTAGCTTCCCTTACGGGCTAAAATCTGATTAAAAAACTGCGGTATTTCTAACGTGTCATTAAAGGAAATTAGAAAATATTCGGTATAAAACCTACCTAAGCTGCAAAATAGTTACTTTAACCTGTGTCCCGTTACCAAACAGCAATAATGACATAATATTATTTTAAGCCTGCTACACCAGCTGTTCAAAGTCATTTAATTAAAGATGTAGATGATGAAAGTAAAGTAAGTGATGAATTAAAAGATATGCCCAAAAACGATCAAAGTGAAGAGGTACTGGATGATGATGAAGCGGACACAAATATGACACTTGACGATAAGAAGATATCAGATGATCAACTAAATCCCCAAGAGATCAAGCCAGAACAACCTAGTCCGGTCATTTTAGACAATTGAAATAAAGAAAATTCCGACAGAGCCAAATCTTCGTAGAGACCTTAGGTTTACCACAAGGAATAAAGTGTCAAAAGTCCCCATCAGTCCCATGTGAGCTTAGGGATTTTTATAGAGAATTTTAAGATCTACTACTTTGCTTTGAGGTACTTTTTTCGATAAAACTTACCGTTTTCGAGAAAAATCCAAAAAACCTAAAATTTTGACCTTGGGCCCCGAATAAGTCCCTAAGCTCACATGGGACTGATGGGGACTTTTGACACTTTATTCCTTGTGGTAAACCTAAGGTCTCTACGAAGATTTGGCTCTGTCGGATTTTTTTTATTTGATCACTATTTTTATGTCTAAAATGACCGGACTAACCTGTAGGTATAGCTTTTATAAAAAGGTGTGGTCAAATTTTAGGAGCTTTTTTTGCAGCCTACTATAAAAAAAGATGAAACATTAAAAAAATATTAAAAATGTATTTTTCGGAAACTGCTTTGACATTATATAGTATGTATGTATATGTACAATACTATATATACGGTGCAACATTTAGAACAACATGTTTTGAATTTCAGCTCAATTTTAAACATTTTTAGCACAATCGGCACATTACATCGTCTCAATTTTAAAGTTCATTTTGTCACCTTCAATATAAGATTTCTGTATAAATATCGTAAATTTTATGTCGTGTAGCTAATTATGTGTCGCCGTATTGCCTTTAATTGTGTGGTGACCGCAGACCGCATCTATGGCAATCGCTATAGTCCGTAGTAGCTAAAAAGTCCGACAACAGTCTCTCTACAGATATCGCCTGGCTCTTGGGTAGAGTAGGTAGTAGGTAGTAGGTAGAGGTCTGATAGCAGTAACTCTGCGTAAAAAAGTGGTAAGCAGTGGTAAGGCACTACCGCCGACCAAGATATCTACAACGAAATAATCGAGAGTTAGGTGGCCCGAGATGTCCGGTAACCTTACTCACTTGTTGAAATACTATGAAAGAATTACTTAACACCGGTTTTTGTTAACCCGTGGTCTCACTCCGGTCGGGCTAGCCCATTTCTAGAACGAGGATTAGAAATGAGGTTTCTGCCTACTACACCACCCTGGCCAGACAGGTTGCACACTCAATGCTGTTGTCCTGCGTAGTTTGCTCCCTCGGTCGCCTCTTACGATACCCACTGGCTGAATAGAAGTGGTAACACTACGAATTCTTAATAAATAACATTTGAATGTTACAGATAAAAAAAGAAAATGCCAACCAAAAAGAATCTTCAGGTCTTAATTGTGAAAATAAAACGAAAGATCAGATTGAAAACGCTGAGCCCATAGAAGTAACAGAAAAAGAAGAAAATAAAAACAGTTGATAGAAGCTGTCCACGATTCAGCAACAGATAATAATCAAGTTAAACCTTGTCAAAATGAAATGGAACTGGTAAGTCACAAATATATTATTATGATGTATTTTACTTTACTATGATCTGTAATGACAAGTATCTATGTATTCATTTGCCACTACTTCCACCGCAAAATTCGGTTATAAACAAAATGGAAATAAATGAATATTTGGCTATTTATTTTAAAGTGAAGATTTACATACTGGAGAATAAATAATACATGCGGTCTATAACAGATCGAGCCCATCATCTTCGAACAAGCTGTATAATGTAAAACTATGAATGAATATTGTAAAACAATGTGCGTGCTTTATAATTTTGTACGGAAATCTTTCTAAATCACCGTTACAAAGAATTAATTGTGTTTGAGTCTTTGAAACCAAGAAAAGCTAAACCTAACAGAGTTTGGGTCCTTCGAAAGTCAACAAAATATGATCATTGATCTGGAAGAATGCAGGTGGAAAAAGAAACGAATTGTATACTCTACTAATTAAAGGGCGAGGTATATTTGTTATAGCGTTATAAAATGGAGGGCCCCAACTTAGTCTTATGAACTAAGATTATGGGGTTATTTTCAATAATAATATGTTGCAGAAGGAAGAAGTTAGCAACACGCAAACAGATGTTACTGATAATAAAGAAAATAATGAATTAGAAATTGATGCTGAGAGGAATGAGCAAATAGACGATCTTCGACGCACTAATGTAACAAACTCAGTATTCCCGAATCATATAGACCAAGAAATTGGTGATAAAACAGTACATGTAAGTTAACTATTTCTATGTTAATTATTTTACTTACTATTATACATGCGAATTATTTACACAACTTTATATTTTGTAAAATTTATTGAAGATGTCGAAATTAACACGCCAACTACATGTTGGAGTTTTTAAAAACCAGCTTCTAGCTTCCTTTACGGGCTAGAGTCTGAAAAAAAAATGTATTCCGATTTCAAAAATTGCTGTATTTCTAACGTGTCGCTAAAAAGAAATTGGAAATTCGGTATAAAACCTTCCACCCCGACAAGATTCCGATGTAAGGTTCCGCTGCAAAATAGTTACTTTAACCTGTGTCCCGTTACCAAATAACAATAATAACATAATATTATTTTAAGCCTGCCACACCAGCTGTTCAAAGTCATTTAATTAAAGATGTATACGATGAAAATAAAGTTATGCGCGAAAACGATCAAAGTGAACCGGATGATGATAAAGCTGACATAAATATGTCAGTATATATACAATATTTTCAGCACAATCGGCAAATTCCATCGATATCATCCTTATTTAGTACTCATAGTCACGTCACCAGTTTCATCGTCTCAATTTTAAAGTGCATTTTGTCACCTTCAAAATAAGATTTCTGTATAAATATCGTAAATTTTATGTCGTGCAGCTAATTGTAGCAGTAGCAGTATTGCCTTTAATTATTTAAATTTGGCGTCTTTGAAATTTAACTCTCAATTTATTGTCCCATATTTTTGATTACCAGATCACCTAAGAAGTTTTATTTAGAAATGTGTCCTTACGAAGTTGAGTTATTAAAAAAGTTGTGATTATTTTATTTTTTGTTGAGAAGACTTTACAAGAATTAGATACTAGTGTTTAACTCTAACGGGCTGGTGCCGCTATTGAATCTACAGTAGAATACTCTAAAGATTCAAACATGAGTATCCGAAATAGTTTAAACGGTAAGGCAGATAAAGAAGAAGACGCAGAAACTAAGATAAAGAAGCAACTAAATCAGGCAATGATGAAAGTAATAGTCCGTGAAGGGGCTATTACTTTCATGAAGCCAGAACCTCAGGTTGATTTAGATTATGAAAAAAAAACTTAAATATTATATGAGTTAAAGATATACTATGTTGCACCGTATATATAGTCTATGAAGTAGATATACATACATGTTTACTTCTCTTTTATCGTCACAACTATATAGCAGAAATTTTCTGCCTAATATTATTTTTTCCCTAATATTAACAAAGAAAATAAGATAATCTTTTGTTAAAAAAACTTCTTTATTAATATATAATCTCATAAAAAACCAACAGAAACTTACTACTAAGTAGAATAAAACAATGTGTCTCCTACTTTTAGTCCCAGAAAGATGGAACACATAAATGTATTCAGAATTATTTAAGGGATCAAAATATTGAATATCTGAGAGATCTTTTCAGACCTCTCATTTTAGAAGCTTTGCAAAATATCATACCTAGTTATTCTCAAAATGCAAAAGGACTGGAAAAAGAACCGTCAGAACCAGTTGTCGACGAAAAAAATAACATCAAAGATATGAAAGACCAACTACAAAATAAGCGAGAACCCAGTGATCAACCTCAGAATGAGAAAAAAGCAACTGAACGACTTCAGAATACGAAAGAACGAAATGATCACTTTCAGGATGATAAAGAACCAAACGATCAATGTCAGTATAAACAAGTTCCAACTGAGCAACTTCAGAATGAGAAGAAAACATTTGATCAATTTCAAAAGCCGAAAGAAGAAGTTGTACAGAATATCATAGTCAGTAGTCCTCAAAATGCAAAAGGCCTTGAAAAAGAATTGTCACAAACAATCGGCGACCTATCAAATGGTATTAAAGAACTGAACGATCAACTACAGAATGGGGAACTGAAGAATGGGGAGCCAATGAGGGATGACCAACTTCAAACACCCAAAGAAATCAAGCCAATTAGATTCGTAAGTCCAAATTTATTATTATTACAATTTAGCTAAAATACGAGAAAATATGTTTTTATTTAGGAATCAACAGCTGAGGGCTAATCCACATTTTGCTAACTACAGTTTAGTCCCTTATACGTAATAGAAAACAATGAAAGTTCTAAGTATATATAAAGAGAAAGATTGTCAAGAAGGAAAGGCAACGATGGAAGGGTGTAATTTTTTAGTGAGTGAGAGCAGGCGCTGCCCGCCGTTCTATGTTTCTAAATTTGTTATCACTTAATTGCTTAATGCGTATAATATTGAATGTAGACGATCTTAGAGAAAGACAGTGTAGTGCGAGCATTGAGTGTAGGTACCACGATTGCCATGACGTGAGAGTACGTAGATTATTCTTTTAACTAATTTTAGATGCAGAAACCTGAAGATGGTGAGATATTATACGCAGAAGATTTACAAATCTTTATTCAATCTATTGTCCCTGAATTGATACAAATCCTTGAGAAGATGTTCTCTCATCATACACGTAGTTCAGGTGCACTTAAAAGTGGAACTAAAAGTTCATTAGCTGAAGACTCACAGATTCCATCAAATGAGCTTGATGTCCATTCCCTGTTTAATCCGAATATAGAAATTATAACTACCGTGAGTATCATTCATCTAATTTTTATGTAATTTGTCTGTTTGACCAAGATTTAATTATTAACTTAAAAAATAAACGAATTGTTTGTAACAATATTTTAAATGTAGGATATTCCTAACTTTGAGTGTACGAGAATCGAGGAATCTGATAAAGTTAAAGGACATGATGAAGTAATATCGATAGACCCGACTGGAATTCAAATCAAAAAGGTAATTTTATTTAATCATTTTAAAACTATAAAATGCAAAAGGTTCCATAGTAAAAATCAACTATTTACTTTTTATGTGTAATTTATTAAAATAATAGTACGAAGTATTATTGGAAAAAAATTAAAAATATAATATTCCAATTCATAAATAATATTTTACAATTTGGAATATATTAACGTCATATCATCAGATACGACATTAACAAATAGAAACTGTGAATAATACGTCTTTACCTATGAAATTGCCGTTTTGTATGCAATAAGTGAATTCATTGCATACAAAACGGCAATTTCATAGGTAAAGACCTATTAGAACTATATATGCATTAATTAGTAGTAATTAAAAGAAAATAATGTCTTTTTAAAACACAAATGTCCTTTTAGGCTTAAGATAGTTCTGTGCTTATTTTTTTTACGTTTGTACAGTTATTTAACCTCTAAAACTTAAAGAACAATGGCAGAAACATATTTACCTAAAACTTAAGCGTTTAAAAAAACGAGTCACAGTAAACTTAATCAATTTTTTTTCTATGATTTATCATTACACCACCATGTGTTGTATAAGTCTTATAAGAGATAAGATATTTTTGAAGATTTTATTTGACCTAAGTACGTAATGTCAGATTCGCCATCACGTATAACTGACTAGGGATGCGTGGTGGCAATATTATATTATGGAACAATTTATCGATAATCGATTCTTATAGCTTTGGCTGAAATATTTACCGAAGGTTCACTATTATGATTATGAATTTGCTTCTGCCCACGTCTTCACTCGTACGGTAGAGTGACTGAATCAACATAATTAGAAATGATTTAAAATATTTTTGACTCTCTTTAAACGATTTTAAACACGCTAAAGAAATAGAATATAGTTACGTTATTTTCCACTACACAGTGTGATGAGAAAAATACATTGTCATTGATAACGGCACATAAATAGACATCATCGATATTTTCAAATGTCGATACGTCGTCGTTTAGTACATATCTCTTATTCTGTGGTTTAGATCCTGTCAAGTTCCGGACTCACCACGTTTGTTATTTTATTTTTGTTTAATTTAGTGTTAAACTCGAATAGATGTTATGCTTTTATTTTTTTTATTTCATATACTGTAATAATAATGAAAATAATATTTTCGGCTATCTGACACACAACGCCATCTAGTTTCAAACAAAACATTAACAATATGTTAGTACTTAACCTCGAAACATTCAAAATCCAATATCTTTTTTCCTAGACTTCTTTCGCAAGTAATTTTGATATGAGAATGGTCAAGAATAAATTCTCAAGTGTTAAGGATTTTTTGATATTTAAACGCTAACATTTCAGTTCAAATAAAATTATGTATGGGGACCTGCCATTGTCCTTTATCAATTAGGAACACACATCTCTTTTTCTGTTCTTTCGCCTTTGCGTACCCATGACGGAAATAAGGCGTGAGTGTATTTACTTTTACACTAAAATGATTTATAAATTCTTATATTAATTACATCGGCCCTAAACGTTTGGGGGACGGATGTTTTGGTTGGTATTTAAGGTACATAAAAACTTTTCTTGAAGTCTCAGGTCGTAGATCAACAAAACAGAGAACAACAACCATTCGTAGAAGAAGAATTAAAAGAAGAAGTGAGGAGAAATGATGAAGTTGTAGAAGCCAATGACAGTATTGTGAAAACGAACGGATCATTAGACATTGGTAAGGGCCCTAGCGATATAATGCACACTGCCAACTCTTTTAGGGATATAGGCGTGTAGTTAGATATAGAGTCACACCGTGTGGCGACGGATTAAGAATACAGAGTGTCACCACCCCTATTCATCTCGTGGGTGTCGTGGGAGTCGACTAAGGGAGCAAACTACGCAGGACAACAGCACTGCAGAGAGAAGGAAAACTTGACACAAACCCTTTTTTTTTTTTTAACGTGTGGAAATCCCCTCGGACCGTCACCCCACCGGGGTTTGCGGCGGGGTGGTGTGTCGGACTCGGACCGACTAAAACCACACGGTGTGCCACTCTGCGCCTGTAACAGGAGGGATCCGGGAACAGCTGTTGTTAAGACATCCGGATCCCTCCTAGCGCTAGCCCGCTCCTGGTGCGGGCTCCGTCTCAATATTTTCCTCTCTTTAGGCGACGTCCGGCACACGCGGACGCCGCCCCCTCGCGGCTGGCCAAACTAATGCGGGTGGAGGGGAAACCCACCCCGTCCACCCGCGGCCACACTCAGGGCGGCATGAGGCGGTGATAGGCGCGCCTCCGCCGCCCAGTTCGCCGGCGGCGGATCGGGTCCGAGTGGAGGTAGTCCTCCCGGGCCTTCTCCGCCGCCGCCTTCTGCGGTAGCGAGACTGTGCGCACGATGACTGCAGTGAGGGCCCGGCGCTGCGTCGCCCATGCGGGGCAGACCGCTAGCGTGTGCTGGGCCGAGTCCTCACTGCATTCGCAGTGGTGGCAGGCGGGACTCAGTTCCCTCCTAGCGACCGAGTACAGGTACTTTCCGAAGCAACCGTAAACTTCGGCGAGCACTTCCGCCTCCAAATCCCACGGGGGAGTTCCGGCCAACGCGCACGCCACCTCTGTCGACACGGTGCGGTAACCGCGTATGGCTCTGACCGCCATTACCCTCTGAGGGCGCCAGAGGCGTGCCCTATTCTTTGCGGTCAGAGCCGCCGCCCACACCGGTGCACCGTGTAGTGCCATTGACCGGACAACCCCCGTGTACAGCCGTCTTGTCGCGACGCTGGGTCCACCCAAATAGGGCAAAAGTCGCCCTAGGGCAGACGCAGCGCCGACCAGCTTTGGAGCAAGCTGTCGGAAGTGCTCGTCGAAGAGCCACCTCCCGTCGAGGATCAGGCCCAGATATTTCATCTGGGCCCGAACCGGTACGAGGACCGAGTTGACCACGATTGAGGCGCCAGGGGGTGGACCACGACGGGGCCCATGAAATACCAGGGCCTCCGTCTTATCTAGGGCCACCCGTAAGCCCGTAAGCCACCAGGGAAACTCCCGTGGTGGCCAGGCGCGCCGCCTCCTGGAAGTTAGCCTCCCGGGCCGTGAGCAAGGTGTCATCCGCGTAGCAGATTACACCCAGCCCGGGGGGGAGACGCCCTCGTAGGGCCCAGTCGTACCCGATGTTCCACAGGAGAGGTCCTAGGACAGACCCCTGCGGAACACCGCACGCCATGGCCCTGCGTCTCAAGACGCCATCTCGGTCCTCGTACATGACGGTTCGCTCCTCAAGATAGTCTGCCACCAGCCGCCTCAGGTACTCCGGCACTCCGTGGTAGCGGAGCGCTTCCCTGATGCAGCTGAATGGCAGACTATTGAAGGCGTTGGCGATGTCCAAGGACACCGCCAACACCACTCCGCCGCAGCTCACGGCCTCCTCGGTCACGGCCCTAAGGCGCATTACGGCATCGATCGTCGAACGCCCCTCTCGGAAACCGAATTGGGCGTCCGACAGATCGGGGCCAACCTCGCAAAGGTGCCGGACGATGCGGGCAGAGAGCACCCTCTCAAAAAGTTTACCCGCCTCGTCCAGCAACACGATAGGCCTATAGGCCGCGACCGAATCGGCAGGCCGTCCCGGCTTCCTCAGCAGGACCAGCTTCCCGCATTTCCAGCGCTCAGGGAAGCGTCCGGACGCCAGGCTAGCGTCCAACACCCCCTTGAGGTGGTCCGACATGTAGTCGAGGGGTCTGGAAACCCTATATCAACCCGTCTGGCCAGCGTGGTGTAGTAGGCCAAAACCGCCTTTCTAAGGAGAGGCCTATGTCCAGCAGTGGACTAGTAAATGCTGTTGATAATGATGAGTAAGATATGTCATACACAGAAGTATATAAAAAACTTATAACGATGATCTCTTAATCAACAGTTACAACCTTCGGTACCACCTACCCTGAGATCAAACCTTTAGAAGAACCAATGCGGTTTCATGCTGTTCATGGAGACAACATTTGTCTGTCGAAGAACAATTTACGGGCTCAACGCAAGAAGAAATCCAACTTTTTTAGTAAAGGCATTGCGTTTAGTTCTAGACCAGTCGCCGTTGGTGAAAAGGTGAGAAACTTAATGAGTGAGATGATAGTGATATACTGATAGACCTTAATTTATTAAAGTCAAAATTTATATTTAAATTCCTTGTTTATATTGTGGACCAGATTAATTACTGTTAATATTAAAAAAATCAGTTGTAAAATTTAGCTTTCCCGTAAACTTTATTAAAAAAACTTTTTTATTAAAAAATCTTACTCATCTTATTAGTATTATATTTTGTTTTGATGAGTTTTATAGTGAATAGTACATTTACTCTAAGACACATAATTGTAAATCGATACTACGATATTTAACAAGTCTATATTTATTAGACACATATTTAAGTTACACTAAATCGAAAACCCTTAAACGTTTATAATTTCACTTCCAGGTATCCTTTCACTTAAGGCAACTCTCAAGTTATTGGCTCGGCCTTATCACCATTGGCTTTACAACTAACGATCCGATGTCTATAGCTGACAATCTGCCCACCAATGTCATTGATGAACGAGACTGCGCAGATGGATTCTGGGCCGAACACTTGGATAAAAAATATTACCAGGAAAGCTGCAGATTACATTTTTACTTGAACTCCTCAGGAAACATGTGCTTTGGAGTTAATGGTGTCGATAAGATTGAATTTTTTTGGAATTTAGAAACGACAACACCCGTTTGGGCGTTGATAGATGTTTTTGGATACTTTACAATAGTGGAGTTTGATATACCGAAAGAATTGCATAACACAAGTTTCGTAGCATCCAGTCTCCTTTCAGGTAGAAATGAATCTGACTACTCAATGAATCAATCTTTGGATGATAACGAGAAAAATAAGCCTTGTTTAAATTACCAAATTCGTTTTGTGCCTTTGAATTTATACACACAAGTTGAAGGCACTTGCATGAAATTCTTAGAGGACCGAGGTGTTTGCGTAACTTCAGGTAATAAAGGCGGGTGCATTGACGGCAAATTACCGCTCTTTCCCGGACAGACCATTGTAGTTCAAAATTTGTCTGTAGGGAAGGCACTCTTTTATATTGGGGTAAAATACGGTAGTCCAACAACTGAGGTATCTAGTCAATTACCGGAACCCGTTAAAAGTAATTTTGTTATGCACGTAAAAGACGAACTGGCTATAACGTTCACAGAAACCGGAGAAATACGAGTCACAAAGAACTTGGATATACCAAAAACAATTCTCAAAGTGAACCGATCTCAAGAACTTTGGCCGTTTGTACAAATATTGAAAAGAAATCAAATGATCAAGATGTGGAGTAGCAGTACTCCTTTTCTTGCTGCGTTCCAGACATAAGTAAACTAAAACTAGATAGGAACAATCATAGATTTTGGAAATAAATGTTATTAGATTTCTACCTAATTATATTTAGATTAACACTTATTTTTAATCAATAACTTGGTGTTTAAAAATTGTCGTGCAGTTGCAAATTTTCTGGCATAGGCTAAAATCTATACCGTTCAATTTTTGTACTTAAAGTAATAAATTAATTAGCATTAATTTCTCGTGTGGGATACTTTCCTGTTAATTTCAAAATGCACATATTTCTTGTCTTTTGAATACACTAACATGTATTTTTGTGAAAAATACCTTAGTAGGTTAGATGTTTTTGAAATATAGCCACACACACTGAATCAAAGGCCGTAGTCAGCTCAAAAGTGTGTGTAATAATAATAATTATATTTTTTCACATCTTACACTCGGCCGTCTGATCCCAAACTAGGCAGAGCCTGTACTATGGTAACCAGACTGCTGATAAACATACTTATATATTTCTAAATATATACATCTTATAGATAAAGTCTTATAGATCAAATGACCGTGGTCATCACACAATTATTTATCCTGGGTGGGAATCGAACCCACGACCTCTGGCTTAGCAGTCAAGGTCACTAACCACTAGACCAAAATAAGTATTTGATATAATGTACCTATAAGAGTAGTTATCTGATTTATTTGATGGGTTGTATTTTGTGAGCGTTTCCATATACTGACAGTTTTTAATATAACTGAGACTGGCATTTTTTTTTGGTATAGCTTTTAATGAAACTTTAATAAGAAGTGTGTGTGATTAGTATATTTTCAAATAATGATATTTTTTTCGTATTATGTTCATTTTCAACTTATGTTTCTAACTCTATCTTTATTTCATATTTTTTTTATTGGTAGTCTTTAATGTAGACTGTTTCGTCAAATATTTAGCAAAATAAATATATATGTATCGAAAAACTATGAAGAAAGTGTTACTTTTTTAATAATAAATGTTTGATTAGGTTATTTGTTTTATTGATTCCTTCACATGAATTTATTAGAGCCATGCTTCAGTCCACATGGACCGACTCGACCAGTATGATACCACGACCTTACAATGTCCTCAAAAATGTCTTCAGGTCCTGGTCAAATAGTAACTGTTTTTGTTTGTTTTCCGTTGTCATTTTTTATTTTATATCTATTTCATATATTTTTCTTTTATAAATTATTATTTTTAAATAAACTTCCTAACACAGAAAACACCCAAACTCCAAAAGATTCATTTGCAGATCATACAAACATTTGTTCTGCCCCGAGAATCGAACCTAAGACCTCGTAGAATACTCGAATCGTCGTAGAATACTAATAATAATATTTTGAACACCTGACATACAACGCCATCTAGTTTCAAACTAAGCAGAGTTTGTACTATGTAAGCTAGAATGATAGCTTAGAGAATAAATTATGGTAGGAGAGTCATGCTTCGACATGTATAGGCCGGCTCGACAGGAGTAATACCACAGCCTCACAGAAAATGATGATAAAAAGACGATGTTAAGCTATTTTGCTTTGCTTTTCACAGAGTGAGTGAGGTTAAATCTCCATACCCTCCTAATTCTGTAGTGGGGACTCTACGACTGACTTTAAGACAACTCGGGCCACCAGTTCTCGAGTGGCGGCCGTGTATTGGAAAACACAGCGTGGGTAGGCTTCGCACAAGGTGGTCTAACGACCGTCCCGTCGGGCTCCGCCTTCTCTGGGGCGGAGTCATACAGGCGGGTCCGAGCGGAAGGAGAAGCCGTAGCGGAGGAGGAGATCGCAAATCTCGTGCTTAGGATTCGGGAGCCGGTGGAGGGAGATGCCTCCCGGGCTCCCGTGTCTGTACAGGAGAGGGCAAGAGCGGCGGTGGATATAATTAAAAAGGTGGCCACCAAGTCCGTGAACCTTAAGGGCTCCTTTGTGAGGGCCCTTAAGGACTCCTCCTCCGCTGTGTCGGAGGTCGTGGAGGACCTGACAGGCGAGATGTCTCGCCTGCAGGCCGACAACGAGAGGCTGACGGAGCGGGTGAACGAGCTGAGCGCTCAGTTCGCCCGCTTCCAGACGAACCTCCCCGAGCGGGAGGCCCCGTCCACGTCCCAGCCTGCCCCTACCACCAACGAAGGGGTACCTGACGCCCAACTGCGTAAAATTCTTGACGTATGGCTTCAGTTCAGTTCATTATGGCTTCAGTTGGGCGTATGCTGGACGGTCGTCTGGCCGGCCTGGAGGCGAGACTGCCCCCTGCGCCGGTCGTGCGCCCCCCGCTCGCGTCGTCGCAGCGGCCTAAGGCCGCTGCTCCGACTGCGCTCCCCGTAGTGGGAGGCGGCGTAGGCCCCGACTCCACCGGCTCCCCAGGGGCCGAGGAGAGGGGCCAAGGCACCGGCCCAGGCGCCAGTCAAGGCGCCGGCCCAGGCACCGGCCAAGGCGCCGGCCCAGGCACCGGCCAAGGCGCCGGCCCAGGCACCGGCCAAGGCGCCGGCCAAGGCGCCGGCTAAGGCTCCCCACTCCGACATCCCTGCCGGGCCCCTCCGCACCTGCTCCCTCCAACGAGGGTTGGCAAGAGGCGAGGGGCTCAAAGAAGTCCCGAAGGCGGGCTAGAATTATATGGTGTATATTTCTCCCCCAACCGGAGTTTGAACGACTTCGAGGTCTTCCTTAACAACTTGGAGGCCTCGATGCGGCGACTAGTGTCTGGGCACGTTCTCGTGCTGGGGGACTTCAAGTCCATTGCGTGGGGTTCCCCTGCGACGGACGCCAGGGGCGAAGCCGTCGAGGAGTGGGCGGCGTCGGTGGGCCTCTGTTTGCTGAACAGAGGCTCCACCAACACGTGCGTGCGACAGCAGGGGGGGTCGATAGTGGACCTTTCGTTCGCTACCCCTGCAGTCGCCGCACGAGTAAGGAACTGGTGTGTCCTGGAAGAGGTCGAGACGCTCTCGGATCATTTGTACATCCGATTCGAGCTCTCCCGGTCCCAGGACCCCAGTAGGGGTCACGCGGCGCGGCGCCCTTCCCGCTTCCCGGGGTGGGCTGTCGCCAAGCTCGACAGGGAGCTACTAGAGGAGGCGGCCATTATTTACTCTTGGCTGTCTCCGCAGGCCCCGACCGAGGAGGTCGACATGGGGGCTGGTCGGTTCTGCGAAGCGATTACGCAGATTTGCGATGCGGCCATGCCCCGCGTTCGTGGTTGTCGGCCTCCAAGAAAGGAGGTATACTGGTGGTCCCAGGAGTTGGCGGACCTCCGTGCGGCCTGTGTACGTGCCCGGAGGTCCCTCACCCGTAGTCGGCGACGTCACCGCGGGGTCGGTGAGGAGGTGGACCGGCTTCATGAGGAGTACCGAGAAGCTCGGAAAACTTTGAGGCTGGCCATCTGTCGCGCCAAGGATGTGAGTAGAGAGGAGATGCTGGAGAGTCTCGAGCGTGACCCCTGGGGTCACTCTTATCGTGCGGTGCTTCAAAAGCTCCGCACGTCGCCCCCCCCCCCCCCCCCTTACGGTGACTCTCCAGCCCAGCTTCCTGCAGGCAGTGGTCGAGGGCCTATTCCCGCAGCGGGCGGAGCACACACCTCCGTCGATGGCTGCATCAGCCGGAGACGACGGGGGCAGCGAGGTTGATGTTCCGCCCGTCAGGGAATCGGAGTTGGGGGCGGCTGTTTTACGGATTCGATCCAAGAACACCGCCCCCGGGCCGGACGGGGTTCCAGCCCGAGTGATGGCCCGAGCCCTCGACTACATGTCGGACCACCTCAGGGGGGTGTTGGACGCTAGCCTGGCGTCCGGACGCTTCCCTGAGCGCTGGAAGTGCGGGAAGCTGGTCCTGCTGAGGAAGCCGGGAAGGCCTACCGATTCGGTCGCGGCCTATAGGCCTATCGTCTTGCTGGACGAGGCGGGTAAACTTTTTGAGAGGGTGCTCTCTGCCCGCATCGTCCGGCACCTTTGCGAGGTTGGCCCCGATCTGTCGGACGCCCAATTCGGTTTCCGAGAGGGGCGTTCGACGAACGATGCCGTGATGCGCCTTAGGGCCGTGACCGAGGAGGCTGTGAGCTGCGGCGGAGTGGTGTTGGCGGTGTCTTTGGACATCGCCAACGCCTTCAATAGTCTGCCATTCAGCTGCATCAGGGAAGCGCTCCGCTACCACGGAGTGCCGGAGTACCTGAGGCTGCTGGTGGCAGACTATCTTGAGGAGCGAACCGTCATGTACGAGGACCGAGATGGCGTCTTGAGACGCAGGGCCATGTCGTGCGGTGTTCCGCAGGGGTCTGTCCTAGGACCACTCCTGTGGAACATTGGGTACGACTGGGCCCTACGAGGGCGTCTCCCCCCCGGGCTGGGTGTACTCTGCTACGCAGATGACACTTAAGTCACGGCCCGGGGGGCTAACTTCCAGTTGGCGGCGCGCCTGGCCGCCACGGGAGTTTCCCTGGTGGTCGGGCGCATTGAGGCGTTGGGTTTGCGGGTGGCCCTGGATAAGACGGAGGCCCTATTATTTCATGGGCCCCGTCGTGGTCCACCCGCCGGCGCCTCAATCGAGGTCGGCTCGGTCCTCGTACCGGTCCGGGCCCAGATGAGGTACCTGGGTCTGGTCCTAGACGGTAGGTGGCTCTTCGACGAGCACTTCCGATAGCTTGGTCCGAAGCTGGTGGACACTGCCTCCGCCAACAACACATGGATCTGTTGTCATCAAGGGTCCCAAAGCTGATTTTTGTGTTTAAAAACCTGCGTCATATTGCTGACAAAAACCTAATCAAGAGGGTTTACCAAGCACTCTGTGAGCCCGTTTTATCTTATTGTATAACCGTATGGGGGGACGTGTAAAACGGCTATGCTGAGGGTGGAGAGGGCTCAGAGGGGGCTTGCTGAAGGTGGCTCACTTTCTACCTTTCCTCTTTTCAACTAGAGACCTGTATCTCCTAGCTGATGTCCTCACAGTCCGCCAACATTCTACACTGACATACAAGCCTTCGTGTAATTATAAAAGATTAAAACACATCATTGGTCGAAATACATATG